GAAGTGTGAAGATGTGGTCAATACAGCCTCGACCAGGTGTGAAACCGGCCTGGTTCTCTCTATACTGCTCCAAAGCGTTCGATCAACGGACATTGTGGTGGTCGCAGGAGACTTCAATGCTCAAGTGGGATCCCTGGACGAATTAGTGAGGTTACTTGGTGGTTAGCATGCAATCCCAACCTACAGGACTGACAACGGAGAACGCGTACTCCAACTTTGTGCTGACTACGGACTGTTTCTGTCAAGCATCAACTTTTCGAAAAAAAGGCACCGCCTTACATGGAGACCGCCAACTTCTTCACAGCGCTGGACTCAAATCGACCACATTGCCATCAGTCACCGCTGGAGAGGATCCATTGAAGACTGCCGCTCCTACTGGTCAACACCCGTAGACACGGACCATGCTCTGCTACGAGCGAGATTCTCCCTACACCTGATAAACAACCGCACAAAAGCCGCCGAAAACGGATGCCCACAATACATTGTCACCGACAGTTGCAAATCGGCCTTCGAAGCAGCACTATCAGATCGCCTCTCAACTCAACCATCAGCCGGAGGACTCCGCGAACACTGGTCGGTAATCAAGAAAGCGATCCAAATGTCAATCAAAACGCTTCGGAGCAGTATGGAGAGAACCAGGCCGGTTTCACACCTGGTCGAGGCTGTATTGACCACATCTTCACACTTCGTCAACTTCTAGAACATAGACACTCCTTTCGTAGACCCACCATTTTTATTTTCCTCCATCTAAAAGCGGCTTTCGACTCAGTCGACCGCTCTAAACTCTGGCGCTGCCTTTCCCTGAAGGGAGTGCCCGAGAAGTTAATTTCAATATTACAACCTTTCTTCAATAATAGCCGAAGCCGAGATCGAGCTTACGGCAATTTTTCATCCGAGTTCACCACGGAAAGTGGTCTTCGTAAGGGTTGTCCTCTCTCTCCTTTTCTATTTAACTTTGTCATAGATTTAATTCTTGAAACAGCCCTATCTTCGTGCGAGGAGAGTGGTGTCGATTTACTCCCAGGTGGCGGATTATCTGATCTAGAGTATGCAGACGACATTGTTCTGCTAAGGGAAGATACACGTAAGTTGCAAACTTCTGGATAGTTTGAGTGCTAGTGTAGCCATGTTCGGTATGCGTTTTGCACTATCAAAGTGTAAAATGTTACTACAAGACTGGGTCGGTCCAGCACCCAGTCTCACCCTGACTGGGGAAGAAGTAGAGGAAGAAAACAAATTTTTCTGTCTTGGCATCTATATCTCACTTGGCGGACGCATCACAGATGAAGTGTCGGCGCGTATACAAAAGGTTCGATTGGCATTTGCCTACTAGAGACGTGTTTGGCGTCGTCGCGACATCCGGTTGTATGTGAAGGGTCAAGTGTATGCCGCAGCAGTTCGGCCAGTCCTGCTCTACGGCGCAGAAGCTCGGTCATTAAAGAAGCAGGATAAGGATAAACTTTCGGTGTTCGAACACAGCTGTCTACGCAGCATTGTACGAATCTGGTGCGGCAGTCAGACAAGCAATTCTGAGATTAGGCGTGGAGTTTTAGGTAATCGTGGTCGCTCGCTGGAGCATGTGGTCGACCCTCATAGATTACGCTGTTTGGGGCATGTGTTGCGCATGTCACCACATAGGTTGCCTAGGTGCGATATGTTTCTCCAGACCGGTAGTTGGTGAAAATAATCACAGAAATTCCCAATTCTGTGTTCGGTTCTACTTTCAATTTTTTTGTCTTACTCCTACTGTTCATTCAAACTTACAGCCAAAAGTTATCAACCAAACCCGCGCACGAAGGTGTATGGCTAGTGGTTATAAAAACTGAACTGAACTGAACCATTAGTCTGCGGTGACCTGTAAACAGATAGCACTCCCACCGGCCAACAGCTTAGTCGCACATGGCAGGATGTGAATTATATGTTCGCTGTCGCAAAACGGGGCAGTACTCTGATCTTATATGTAGTAAGGCACCACCGCCGAGCTTAGGGAGAGAAGAGCTGTATGCTACTGAGCGCGCCCAGGACACACATAGGGGAACGGGCGTCGTCTCGCAGCCAACCGTGAATAATGTGGGTCCTGCCATTCCGAATAAGTGATCGCGGACGATCAGTGGCAGCGATCGAGGATGTGGTGGGTTTACCTCCTGGCAAGGGTCCTCCGTAGAAAACACCACAAATATCTGTGGACAGCGCTGTGACGTGGCGAATGTGGCCCGCCACTAAGTATGACCGTTGCTCCTTGTTGAGGTCCATTGCCCGACAAGGTTTTTCCAGAAGAGGCAAATGAACCGAAAAATGACCAGTGGCTGATCTGGAACAACACAGCTGCCTTGGAGTGCGTGCTTGGTTGCGCATACCCTAGATTGCACCCTCGAACAAGCCCCATTCTAAACCGTGCGACCGAGTAGCACACAACGATGGACTCCTTTGCTCTTATCAGGAGGAAAACATTCTACACCGTACCCAGCCTCCCCTATCTCACTTTTACTTTCCTAATACTCCTCCATCTCTCTCTTGTACTAACAGTAGTGTTTCGGGACGAAATTCGTTGCTCCTTGTTGAGGTCCATTGCCCGACAAGGTTTTTCCAGAAGAGGCAAATGAACCGAAAAATGACCAGTGGCTGATCTGGAACAACACAGCTGCCTTGGAGTGCGTGCTTGGTTGCGCATACCCTAGATTGCACCCTCGAACAAGCCCCATTCTAAACCGTGCGACCGAGTAGCACACAACGATGGACTCCTTTGCTCTTATCAGGAGGAAAACATTCTACACCGTACCCAGCCTCCCCTATCTCACTTTTACTTTCCTAATACTCCTCCATCTCTCTCTTGTACTAACAGTAGTGTTTCGGGACGAAATTTTGCCGCTGTTATATATA